AGTAGCTACACTTCTTGACAGCTCGGGGGCCCACGCTGCAGCATTGTGAGATAGCAGCGTCATGCAGTGACCATGCTTGCGGATGCATCTGGCGCTGGTGCTGTTTAAGACGTGAGCCCCACTGACCACATATGACACAGTACTCTGAGAGTTGTCGGCAAAATTCAGCATTTTCCAGGGGGAGCTTCCAGTGCTTCTGTACTAGCCGGCAAAATGGCTCATGGTTAAGGAGAGCCGTGCTCGGCTGGGCCTCCTCAGCAGGCTGACTAGCAGTAGGCTCCACGCTTGAGACGGGGGCAGTCAGAGGGGAATGGCCAACAGGCCCCTGAAACCCCTCCCGAACCGCAGGGACCTGAGCTGCAGGTTCGTTGACTGCCCCGGTTGTACACAAACTTGCACTAGAACGATGAGGACCGGTACAACCTCTTTTGATGTGCTTCTTCAATCCTTCAACTCGCGTGAAGCTTCTGCGGCACAGCTTGCAAGTGGGCATGCCATCTACGCCTCCCGCTACATATGCCTCAGCAGATAGAACCCCTGGCTGCTTGTGTTTCTGCTTGATTTTATGCACTCTCGCACGATGAGACCTCATGATTCGCGCATTGAGAAAGTATTGTCCACATTCGGTACATGGCACTCCCAAAAAGGACTCTACCTCCGGCGGCGACGGGCTAGCAGGTGCGGCGAGGAGGTCTTCTATCTCCCTGAGCCTGGCTTCAAACCACTGCTGCTCGTCAGGGCGTGTGCACTTGGCGACTCTCCTTTGGAGGGTGTGTCGCAGGACTTGCAGCGGGTCCGGAACTCCGCCCAGCCTATCTCGAAGTTTCATAGTGCTTTCATGAGTAAGGAAGGCAGGCGCATGCGCAAGAGCCCGGAGAGCTCGTGCATCAAATTGGGTAAGGCGTCGTGCAACCCCGGAAGTAACCCCAACAACATGCAGACCGTAAAGAAGACTGCTGCGCACACATGCTACGTAGAGCCGGACCCGCTGTCGCAAGAGCAGCCTACGACTGCGCAGCACTCGCGCAAGTCTGTGCTTGCACTGCATGGCTGCCTTTTGCCTGTGCACAAAGGTCTGGTGCTCAAAATTAGTATAAGAAACTACCACCCCAAGATAGACAATGCTATGGACACGCGGTATGACAATTGGGGCATGTGGCGTTCCTAGTTGCAGGACGGGACCTTTGGCAGTGCGTTGTGTGTGGGCTTTGATCCATCGCTTTGCCGCGCCACCTCGAAGTTTGAGGACGATGCGGGACTTATCCATATTCAGAGTCATGCCGAATTCCTGAAAGGTTTTGAAGGTCACTCGGATACACTTGACCAGGAATTTTAAGTCCGAAATGTCCCGTATCACCCATGAGAAATGAGTGTCGTCGGCGAAAAGCGTGGCAGCCTTCTCGGCCCATGCGCTGGAGGTGCGAGAGACCAGAACATCATAGATGTGACAGGTGTATATCGTGAAGAGTAACGGGCTTAGGGCACAGCCTTGTCTCACACCCTTGTTCATGGGGAAGGAGCCGGATTGGCCTTTATGGGCAACCTTGTAGACACATTGCATGTGCAGTGCTACGATAAGTTCTTGGAGTTCCTCTGGCACCTGTGCATGGCTCAAGGAGCTGCGAAGTGCCTCTCTGGGCACTTCGTCAAACGCTCGACTGAGGTCCAAGCTTATCATGGCCCCCCCAAAACACTGACTCATGACGCGACCTGCGCGTCGCTCATGAACTGTGGGTGTGGCATGTTTTATCTGGCTTCTTACATCACTACAATGCGCAAGCACCCTAGCAATGGCTCCATCAATGGCTTTACCCGTAACATAGGCGAATTGTGGTCGCGAGTTGACGAAGGACGTTACATATTGTTGGAGACGCTCTCTGACTGCGATGGCGACTACCTTTGAGCTCGGATCTTGCAACCCTAGGGGTCGGAGGTCAGAGGGACGCTTACTAGTCTTATGGGGCTTGGGAAGCAGGGAAAGCTCGCAGTCCGTCACCTCGCTGGGAAAGGTGAAATGTCGTGAGCACGAGGCGTTAAGGATCCGAGTCAGGCGCAGCGTGAACTCTTCTGGGCAAAGCTTCCAGAGCTCAGCAGGGATGCTGGTAGTGGGCACAGCTTTACCGCCTTTTAGTTGCTGGATTGCTGCATGGACCTCNNTGAAAACAATCTGCTGGCCAGGCTGGTGCGTGGCTGGCACCGGTCCATCAAATGCACTACGAAAGTAGTGCAGGATTTCTCGAAACTCGGCTTGGGGTCCCAGCATTTCACCCGTGGAACTACGAATACGAACCTTCTCATAGCGTCTTTTAGGAGCAAGTCTATTGATGACCCGGTAGACACTGCCTAAGTCTTGACGCTGTGCCGCCTGTTCGGCTTCTTGGATGTGTTCCTCGAACCACTGCCGTCGTGCAAGTTTGCTGGCAACACGCAATTCGCGACCTCGTCTGCGGAAGGCGGTGAGCAGTCGCCAGGCTTCTATGATACCCCTAAGGCTCCTACGTTTAGGGTGGGACTGGAGGGCACGTTGGGCAAGCTTCATGGATCGGATGCTATCGATGACAGCAGGCTGCGTGCTAGGCTTACTGACCACCGCCTTACCTTTCGGATAAAGACGGACACACTGCGTCAGCACTCGCGAGTTGAGCCCTTGGAGCGTGAGATCGGGCTGGGCATGCTGGAGGGTATGCCGAATCCAGTCGTGCAATGCTTGCGCTTTAGCGTCCCAATGCTTAAGGGATTGTCGCATGTGGGGTAGCGAGAACTTGACAGGTGCAATGTTGCGGGCATGAAAGGTCCACCCTGCTCTCCACGGAATGCTGGCGACAATCGCGCGGTGCTTAGCACCGCCTCTCCAAGGCGACAGATCAAACTGCTGGGCCCTGGCCTGACGCGCAACACGATCTGCCGTGGGCCGTCGCATGACCAGGAAGTCAATCTGGCTGTAAACATCATCAAACCGATACGTATGACTGATGCATTTACGAGACCGTCCCCAGGTGTTAAGCAGAACAAGTTGATGCTCGGTTAAGAGAGACTCAAGTTCAGCATCAGGGCTACGAGTAGTGTCCATGACTCCTCTACCAACAAGACCGGAAAGGGGCCTACACTGCGTGTTAAAGTCTGCTCCAACAATGACAAGATTCCTGGTAGGGATGCTGTGCAGTAGCAGACCAAGTTGCGTCCAGAAGTGACTGCGTCTGTCGGCGGTACACTTGTCGCCGCCATCTGTGCGGACCCATTGATAGCCTGCTATGATATCCAGAGTTTTGCTTTCATCTGTGCACCGAACATGCAGCAGGCGACCGGGAATGCAGGTTCGAAAGCTGACAAGGTCGCCCGGTACCACCTTGGTGGAGATGAAGACGCCAACTCCGGCACATCGATTGTCCGGGCTCGCGCTGACGATCACCGTCCATCCTGGAATCTGCCACGCAGCTTCGCCTCGTCCGCAGCCCCAGTGAAGCTCCTGCAAAATGACTACGTCTTCCTGACATTAAGTGGTGAGCCAGTAGTGCAAATAGTCGTACACCGGGCTAGTGAGGCCACTAGCGTTGTAGCTCCGAATGCGCAAACGCGTTGTAGTGGTGCGCTCAGAACTGACCGGGCGAGCTCGAGCTTGCGTCCCAGAATTGTTGTCAGCTGCAGTGTGCGTAGTGCCTAGGGCTATAGCGCTCATCCATTGCCCCCGGTATATGGTTCCTCCATGTAGCTCTGCTCGTCTTCGAGCTCGGCGGTAGGCTCTCTTTCTCACCGCCGAGTATAATTTTGCATGACCTGTTGTATCACCAATTATTTTCGAGGTACCTGTAACAGGCACAACTTGCGAGCTCCTTGTGGGACAGAGCTCAACCCTCGGGTCAACGGGACTGCTAGCGTTGTAATTCATAGCAGCAATATCAGCGTCCCGCTGCGGGATTTGGGACCCGCACAGCCAGAGCGTAGCTGGTGATTCCAGAGGAGTCAAAGACAGATAAGCGCACAGTTGTAACAGCAAAAAGCCTACCATGGCACCTCAGCGAGACTCCGCTACCTGTTGCTTGGCTCCAGCCGAGACCCTTAGTAGTAGTAGTAGTAGTAGTAGTAGTAGTAGTAGTAGTAGTAGGAGGCGCAGGAGGAGGAAGCGGAGCAGCAGCGGTAGCAGCAGGAGGAGGAGTAGGAGTGGGAGTTGAGAATGATAACAACGCCAGATTGAGTTGAATTTGTTTTTTGCATGTAGAGTATATATATATATATATATACGTCTGTATGGGTGCGTGCTTGCGTGTTTGGTTTCGTTTCTGTGTATCGATACACACGTGAAGAGTGTCACCAGCTTGTCCGGCCTGTGGGAAACAACGTTCTGAGGAATCAACCTAAACCTTAACTCCCTAAACCCTGAACCCTAATCCCCCAACCAAAAAATCCCCAAACCCCCTGCGGTGCGACTTTGTCAGCTGGGCGGGTGGGAAAAAATCCCCAAACCCTAAATCCTAAACCTTAAACCCTTGGAAGAGAAGCAGGCGGGAGTCGGGAAGTCTTCAGGCCGAAGCATTCGGGTTTACATCATGTAGGGTTTAGGAGGGTTCAGATTGGCTTGAGGTTACAGTTTGAGAGTTTAGGGTTGCATAGGGGCTCTAGAATGTAGGTTCAGGACTTACAGTTTCAAGCAGATGTTTAGGTTTTAAGGCTCTAGGGGGAGAGTCCGACTTGAGATCCGGAGGGGCTGGGCACGGACATCCGATATAAGCCATAGCTGAAGATCCAAGTAGCACAAAGTCGAAAAACAAATTGCAGTCACTGAACTTCTGCCGACGGGAGGCCCTGCCTTCCTCTATGTGGCCGGCAACTCAGTCAACCTATGTCGACCCAGTGTGTCCGTGATCTGAAGCTTAAGGCTAATCGCGTCAAGTATTAAGCTGTCGAGGAGGGCTCTTGTGGATCTTGCAGGTGGCGACAGTGACTTGAGCGTCGTGTTTGGTCAGAGTCTGGTTGTGATGCGGCTGCTCACGATGACGACCAGCCTTACTCAGCACGCTGGTGACTCTGTCATCGTTGCTTTTTGGAGGTTGATTTTTACGGTGGAGGAAGAAGACTAACAACGGAATGATGATGGGACGTGAACCCGAATATGAACACATGAGAATTGAGATCACGTGCCGACGCTGAAGAAGATGATGTTGATCTTGGTAACGATGATGTTTTTGTTGGTGAAGATGATGCCAAAGGTGGATGATGTTGATGATAAGATGGGTGATGGTGACGCCATTGACGATGAGAGTAACCACGGCGGTTGCGATGATGAGGGAGAAGAAGATGATTATGTTATAACCTGGTAACGATTGCCGTGATGATGACGATAATGTTGATGAGGATGGCGACAACGAGACTGGGCTGATGATGATTGTAACGATGATGGTGGTGATGATGGGGAGGAGGAGGTGGAGGACGATGACGCTGAAGATGACTGTGACCAGGAGATTGAAGATTACCACACCTGACAACAGAGAATGTCACCAGTGGAGGTCCATGTATGCTTTTCCTGCTTCTCGTGGAGCCCCGATGCCCAAAACTCGTTGAAGTCTTCAATGTTACGTCCCAAAAAGTTCAAGTATCCTTTCGAAGGTCTGGCATAACATACTCGGCCGCCTCCTCCGCCTCTACCGTCACCGAGGAGAGCTGAGGATGTGGCATCTCTACTGTTTTCACTCGTTTTCATAAGGGCAAGTGTTGTAACTCTGGGAAGTAGATGATGTACTCATAGCGGTATACATACAGCAAGTACCTGCCACGATACGTGTAGGAGGTTTTGGTATTGTGGATGTGGAAGTTCAGCAGCACTTCCTGATCATACAGCTGCAGCCTCGTGTCAAAGTGTCGGAGGTTAGTATGGAGTCGAATAATCCTTTCGAGTGTCTCGGCATAATTCTTGGTGTTGGGTCTTGGAAGTGTTTGCTTGTATCGTAACAACCTGGGAGTTTGCATTGCCTCACGTCGTCATCCGGTTTGGTGGTTCCGAGGCTTACCCTCTGAACCTAGGACCGAGGATCCAAGCATTGAGCTACAGCCAAGGCAAGTTCCAAATCAAACGGAGAGCTAATTCTTATCGTCCCGAGACGTTGGCGATCGCCCCCATCTCATGCCATTATGTATCAAGATCAGACAGTGAATCCCAAGAAATGCTGGACGCCACAATCTGCACCCTGCCAGTGTGTGCGGGCTGGAATATGCTGCACTACTGACACGGCGCACGCGATGCTTTCAATGGTTTATGTGTCAGCGCGAGCACCATGCACGCATCTCAGGGCCAATCTTCCCCTCCCCGCTGCCCCCCGCGTACTCACATGTAGCAGCAGTACCGTGTGTTGGTTGCGGTGAGTGCAGCTGCAGAAACTGTGCATAATTACTCCAAACCTGCAGGACTTGCTGACACATCGGCGTCCGCTGTTGGAGGGCTACGCGCATGCTCTGAGACCCTTGCCGCCAGACTGAGACTTCATCAGCATGAACAAGTCTCGCGTTCAATCTTCTACAGATACGGATACAGGGTTTCCGAGAATAGTGGACCTTATTATAGTGCCCTAAATAGTACAATCCTTATTAAATTACAAGGACCCCAAAAGAAGGTATCCATCGGACTTGGCATCTAGAAGCCTTCGTGTAGACTTCCTCTCCCTGGTATGGATCCGGGCCAGACGGGGATCTCCCAAACCCGTAAACACTAAGCCCTACACTGTGGAGCCTTGCCTGCCTTGTGCGAGAGTGAGAGTCGAAGCCCTACACGAGGTTCATGACACGAGGAGATGTGACTCACTTGCTCTCCAAGTTCCCACAACAGGCCTGGCTTCCATCATGTGGATCATTCGGCCAAACCACAGACGTTTCAAGGGGGACCCAGATGCGTCTTTAACAGCTATGATCCATGTCAGAAGACTCCAGGGAATTTCTATTGTGTTCGTTTTCCGGTGTCACGTTCCATTCTTCTCCGAGGCGTTGACGGGAGGGCTTGGGTGGGGTCCAGATTGTTGATCGGCGATTGTTAAGCTGTTTCTACTCGAAGTTCGTTGTCACGGTCAAGGTTTGGTCAAGGCCGCTTACGAGTTTTCGTCACGCGACCGCAGCGATTTTCTTCAGGCCTAAACGGTGTTTGGGGCCACAACAGAGCATATTCCTGGCATTTCGGTACTGCATTCGCAAATTGCCCCGCCCTTCGTAATATCATGTCAGCTTTCGCACCTCAAAGCATGTCCCATTGTTGTTGCTTTCGTTGCTTTCCCAATACTGTGTTGCTGTTTCTGCTCCGACTGGCATGAGTCAAGCCAAACTACACCCCCGAACCCAATATGGCTCAAAGACAGGTGCCCGTGTCTAGCATTGACAGTGGTGAAGTGCGTGGTGTGTTTGTAAGACGGGTATAACTTGGAACCCACAAAAAGAGAGACTGCTTTTCCTGCTTCAACCAGCAGCCCAAGCGAGACACTTCACCAGAGAATTCAGTTAGCAATACAAGGGCTCTTTCTATCTTGCAACCTGCTTTAAGGATCCACGGGCATTTTCAGCAGGTCCTCCTTGGCGGCGTCAACACCGCTCGAAACTTCGCAGCCCACCGGGACCCAGTCTTGCATTGAACCTGTTGGTATAGACTCGTGTAGACTCGTGTTTATTCCACACAGTCGTTTGTATGTGTGGACACTGGCTTATGTATGGGGCCGATGTAGGAGAGGGCTTCGGATGTAGAGAAACTGAGCTACTATGTAACAGTGTGAGTACACTGTGCTTCTAGAGTTCTTGTTGCGGGGAATGTGGCAGCTGGCTTCCGATGAACCAAAATTTTAGCAGGAGTGCATGTATGTGTATATATATACACGCACATATGTCTTATTTATTTGTTTACCCGTGTATATATCTGTATACCTCTCTTTACATATATATATATATATATATGTGTATCTATATCTCTCTATAATTGTGTATGTATATATATATATATACACATGTGAATACATATGAGTGTATATATATATGTATATATATATATATAGATAGATAGATAGATACGCGGGGGATTGCTTGGATTTGGGTGATGCTTCCCAACTAAGATTCGCTTGCTTGTCTATGCTTTGTTCCTATTGTTCCATCTCATGTTCGCGGTGAGCCCACCCAAAGGTCCACAACCGCACGCCCACACCGCGAGCCTCAAGACTCCTCTTACATGAACCTTGGAGCCGAAAGCCCAAAGACCCCGGATGCCAAAATTGTTGGGTGCTTGATCTTTTCGTTGAGTGGTGGTCGAGTCGCCTAATTTGAGTCTGGCATGCTGGTCAATGCCTGAAATACTCGGCAAACGAAGCTGCCGTCAAACTCAGTTGTTGTGCATCTGCCAAAGCACCCCGAACAACCCTGCAATGCGGGCTCGTCCTTGCAAAGTGGAGGGAAGCAAGAATCAGGAGGCAGTCCGAATGTCCTCGAAGCACAAAATGCAACAACAACTGCTCAGCCGTCTTTTCCACAGGAGCTCCTAGAGGAGCTGTTTGGTGCGAGACCCGGGCATGTCCAAAAGCCTCACGATGATGCTTTTCAGCGGACTGCGCGTTCAATTCTGCTAAGCTTCGGCGATGTGGCACGTGCCGAAAGCCATATCTCTGAGAGTAGCTTCTCAATGGGAGCCGGCGAGTTGAGCTTCACTGCAAGAGTGCGGAGTCCCATTATCATGTCCCTGTATTCCAGCACCCCGCTTCCCAGGCTCGCTGGTGGTTTGGGTTGCGCTCTCAGCTGAACTGCGCCAGGTCTTCCCACGTTTCCATTCTTCAACTGAGACATGCTAGGCTTGCGACGCTTGAGACGGAACTCAGGATGACCGCATGGTTGACGAAATTGTTGTGGACATGTTTCGGACTGCACATGCGGCAAGTGTGCTTGTGACTCGTGTCTCCATGGTCCAAAGTTCAAAAATGTTGCATGATCACTCAGAGCAGCGAATGTCGATAAGATTCCTGCTTAATATGATATGTTGTGCGATTTCGCATGCATGCGGCACGACAAGGCCCAGAAATTGCGTGCAGTGAAGATGCATTCTTCAGCGATCATTGGACTCTGTATGAACCTGTTTGGGTGCGTTGCGACTCGTGTCCGTTTCGGTCACTTCCAATACGGCGAGGTCAAAACGCCGGAACGCAGGGGCAGGACATGCCGGGGAACGGTCTGCCTGCTGTTGCCTTCTTGCAGTGATGCCAGGGCATCGAAACAGACAGGACTCTTGACCCCAAACCCGATAAGATCCTAAGCTGTAAACTTAAACACCCGCTAAAAACCGAAGCCCTGTAAGCCGGATAGCCCGAAGATGTTGCACTGGAAACAGGGGCCATTACACTATGTATGGTATGCCTCAAACCCTAAGCTTCGTAAGCACACTGTTCAGGATACCCAGAGCAAGGATCTTATCATGTGTTTGTTCTTGGGGAAGCTCAGGGCACTTCGTTCTGAGGAGATTGGAAATGTGTTTTTTTTGCGACTGCTCTTTGTTTTGATACTTGGGCGTTTCACTGGTGAGATTTCCGCCCCTTCCCGGGCGCGAGCAGGATCAGCCCAGCCTTTGAGACACCGCCGCGTAGCCATGTTGGATATAGTGCATGGGGATCGAAGACTTCAAGAGCTTGGAAAGCTCCTTGGTAAGCCTGCTGAAGGTATGACGCAGTCTTCCGTGGTTCCGACATGATTTGCAATGCCGTTGTTGCGTGTGGCGTTGAGTGGCCTCTCCTTGGTGGGGCTTCTGCAGAACTGTTCGGGAGCCAGCGAAGCTATACAAGGTCAACAGCTCCCTGCTCGTGAGGATCCGCTTGGCATTTGGTTCCAGCTTTCGCTATGCGGAGGACCTTGCAGAGATCCGATGCCAGCATTCAACCTGAGTTTAACATGTACCCCAAGTTGCTGAAGTCCCCAAACCCTAAACCCTAAACCCTAAACCCTGGTCTTTCAAGGCCTTTGCTGCTACAAAGCAGCATCAGACATAAGAGAAACGAGGCCTGGACTCTGAGTCTCCGATGTCCCACAGCCGAAGCATGATTGCATAGAGCCAAGACCGAACTAAAACGCTTCGACCCCACGATGCAGGCGGGTGTGAGCGAGGAAGCCTTCAACCATAAAACTGCGACCCTCTAGTATAGAGGTCGAAATAATTACCATTATCCCCATGCTATGACATACCCCAGGGCCCTGTTCTAAATGATCCTGGATCGTACGTTTCAGGCTTCCGCTTTCAAGTTCCTGGTGAACTTCTGTAGCAACCACCGCGTGCACCATAGCTTGTGACCCATAAGTCGCTATTATCAAGAAAAACCCAAAGGGTCCAAGTACTAGTATAGTCTATACTTTTGGGGCCCAAATACCTACTAAGTACCTACTATAATGGTACTTGGACCCTTTGGGAAAGTAAACTAAGCTACGCACGCTTGCAGCAAGACCCTAAGTCTGATTCCATGCGCGTCCCACACTTCGAGCTGAGCCCTTTTTCACGAGCCAAAACCAAAGCAATCATGGGAAGTCTGACAAACCAGGAGCCGTACATGCTGGGTAGCCAGCATCTTACAGGATCCGTATTTTTTGGCTTCCTCGGTTTGCAGAAGGAGACGTGCGTCTGATAATCCCTTCCCCCTATGTAATATGAAACAGGGGGCC